CTTGTGATCTGCTTTGACTTGCTGTGATTCAAACACTGGCCACAGAACTTCCCCTGGATAATTCCTAGAGCAGGAGCTTTTAGAAAAGCATCCACTCCATGGAAAAAAATCGTGTGTGAATTTGGCTAGTGTTATCTGTGTGAATTTGCCTCCTTTGAACCACTGGACTGAAGACCCCTTATTAAATATGTTTCTCTATGCAGGCACTTATAGATTATCAGGTCCTCCTTAACTTTGTTAAACTAAATTGATTGACTGCTTTGAATCTATTATGTAAGAGTGTAGCTGTTTAAACAGGTGACTCATGCTTATTGGTTACCAATCGGCTACACAAGGCTCCCAGTCCAGCTCCTGGAAAGCTGTCTGCTGCCCCTGTATCAGAGGCAGCAGCATGGGGCAGAAGCTGGCTCCCTGGGAGCAGAGTGACAGGCAGGAACTAGGGATGGTAGGTACCGGATAATTAGAATAGTGGAGTAACTGCATGAAATCTTAGCAGTTACTTGACTATTCTATTGTTCCCAGGGGCAGGGCAGGCAAGCAGTGCAATCTGGCCCCACTGCTAGGGAGCCCCCTGTCACTGTTGCCTCTGAATCAGAGGCAGGAGCACGGGGTGCCAGATGGGAGCCCATCTGTGAGGGGAGCCAGGTGAAAAACCAGTTTGAAAATCTTTAGTCAGCTCACCACAGCACCAGCTTCTGCTCCCCACCTCTTTACTGCCTCTGAAACAGAGGCAGCAAGGTGTGTGTGGGGGGGGGGGGGAACGTGTGTAGTTGACTAGATTAGATTAACTGACAAGCCTTATCGGTTGATTGTATAGTCGACTACTTGTTTACATCCCTAGTGGGAACCGGTGTGCACTGGAAGCCAGTTACCATACTGTACTACTGCAGCAGCACAGGGCAGTTCCCAGTGTGAACCAATTCCCAGGGAGCTAGCTACCACTCCATGTTTAACCGCTGACATTTTCAGCAGTTACACGATTACTCAATTACACATATTTGAACATCCCTAATGACTAAAAGGCATATTTTCTAATCCTTTAATTATTCTTGTGGCTCTTCTCTGAACTCTCTACAATGTATCAATGTCCTTCTTAAATTTTGAACATCAGAATTGGAGGCATTATTCCAGCATAGTTTGCACCAATTCCAAATATAGACTGAAAATAACCACGCTACTCCTACTAGAGATTCCTCTGTTTATCATCTCCAGATAACATTAGTTCTTATGGCCAGGATGGTGCACTGAGAAATTACATTGATTATTCAACATGTGCCCCAAGTCTTTTTTCAGAATCCCTGCTTTCCGGAACAGAGTCCCTCATCCTGTAAGAATGGTCTACATTTTTTGTTTCTAAATGCATAGATTTACTTTTAGTTGTATGAACATTTATTATTTGCCTGCATTCAGTTTAGCAAGTGATACAAATCACTCAGAATCAGAAATCTGTTCTTTTCATTATTTACCATTCCTCCAATTTCTGTGTCCTCTACAAACTGTCAATTATCATTTTGTTTTTTTCTAGGTCACTGATACAAATGTTAAATGTGCCAATAAACAATCCATTCAGGACTCCACTGGAAACATACTGGCTTGATGGTGATTTCCTTTTTACAATTACATTTTGAGACCCCCAGCCAGTTTTTAATCCATGTAATATATGCTGCGTTCATTTTACATATGCCTAGTTTTTAATCAAAATGTCATGTAGTGCCAAGTCAGTTGGCATGCAGAAGTCTTAAGTATATTATGTCCACACTATTATCTTTGTTAACCAAACCTGTAATCTCATAAAAGTAAGATATAAAGTTAGTTTGACAGGCTCTATTTTCATAAACCCATGTTGATTTGCATTAATTACATTACCATCCTTTACTTTATTAAATTGTATTCAGTCCCTGCGTGATTCCAATCCTCACAGTTTGTGTAGCATAAGAACTTGCTGCAGATGTTGGGACAAAGTTACATCCAGCATTTTTGGGCCTTGAAAAAATAGTCCTTAATACTCAAAGTCACAAGATTATTAGTTGTGTGTGCTCAATAGAATACCTTATTGTAACAATGTTTAGTGTATTATTTGTTGAGTACCAACAGCTAAGTATATGGTGCTTTATAAGAGGAAAAGACTCCTGCCCAACAGGGCTTACCGACTAAAAATAGTCCTGTGTAATCTCATGCACAAATCAGTGAGAATGGTGCTAATTTGGGAAATATTTTGATTTGTTTGGAATGGAATAGTGCCAGCAGTTACTGGCTTGGATTTGTATTTTTGGGCCTTGTGGAAAAAGCAACATTTAGTTAATATCTGTGCTACAAGTGACTGGTTAGTCATACTGTAATCTGGATTGTTCACAACAAATATAAAGTTGTGCTATACATCAACTTTTTTCACAACACAACCATCTGTGAAGCATATTTCTCCATTCACACCTACAATGTTTGCTGTGTTTGAATCCGTTAATTTTGGGTAGTTTATTTCATACTGCCTCAGGAGAGAAAGCTCTGAAGATATGCATGCAGAATGGTACCAGCAGTACATAGAGCAATGTACTGCGATGTGGCACAGAGAACTTGGAGGTACACCTGGCTATCCTAATTATAGAGACAGCTCCTTCCCCTCCAAATTACAGTATTACAATTATAGGTGGTGGATATAATAGGCCAGGGGAAGCTAAGGGCCCCCAAACAGCTGCTGCCTTTGAGAGTGCAGATGCTGGGGCCCCTCGTGTGCTCCACTACAAGTCCCTACTCCCATTCTTTCAATATGGACCTGCCCATACTGCATCTCTTCCTGCCCGCACTACTTCCCCCCCCAACTCATGCTTGCTCCACCCCTTCCTGTCCCTGTCCCACCCCTTCTACCAAGTCCCCTACTATCTGCTGTTTGCCAAGTTGCTCCTCTCCACCAACCCGCACAATCTCCCACTGACTCCTATTTTCTAAGTCAGTCCTGTCCCCTCTCATTCTCTTTCACAGTGGATGGAAAAGAGGGTGGTAGGGTGAAATTAGTTTCACTAGCAGGGTAAAGGGAGAAATAATGAGAAACAAGTAAAGCCATAAGCAGGGGTGTAGTAGTAAAAGTGAAGAAAAGAATCTTTATATAGAGCCTGAACCCAAGCTCACAGAGATCACTGAACTGTTGTGTCTTCAGTGGGCTTTGGCACAGCCCTTATTAGTGATAAGAGGAAATGATTGTGTGAATGGGTGGGAGGTGGGCGGGGCAATAAAAAGAGGTCTGTGCAGTTGGTAAGGAAAGTGATTTTCAGTGCTGCATTCTAAATAGTCTGCATTTTAGGAAAGAAGGAAGCCAGAAATAAGGAAGCTGTGGTAGTCAGGATGAAAGAGAATGGTAGGAGGAAGCTGCAGCATGTTTGGCTGCCCAGCCAACTAGATGAAGATTTACTACCTGCAGGGCATATTATGCTGAGTTATTTACTTTTCCTATATTATTGTGAGTCTTGCCATTTTAGACCATTATAAAGCCACAAGGCTAGAATTCAGTGTTGCCAACTCTCACAAATGTATGATAAGTTGTGTGCCAACTCCCACAAATTTATGATGAGTTGTGCTAATTGTGGCCTCTGCTGAAACTTATCTCCCTATGACTAAGAAGCACTAGCCTCTACAGATTTTCACTCCATCCAAGGGAAAGCCCATCTCTGGCTGCATTTCCAGGACTTGGGGGTGGAGCAGACAATCAGAACTCCAGTGGTGGGGATACGCCACTCTCCCCCACATGGGTCAGGATCCCAAGTGAGTGTTTGGATAGAGGAGAGTCAGGAAAAGGAGAAGCCAAATCCATTTTCACATGAGCATGTAGAAGGAGCTCAGCTCCTCGAGATGATTATGGACTTCCTCGCCTGTGAAAAATGGCTCATTCTGCTCTCCTACTTTTGTGCCCTCCACTCATGCCACAGAAAGGGGAGAGAATGTGAAGAGTGCTGGAAGCACCACCTATTGCCACTTCATGAGTGGAAATGGGTAGAGGGAGTGAAGGATTCTTGGGATTGTTCTCTCCCCCCTCAAAACTGGAAAGAAGGAGAGGAGGACCCCACTGCAGCTGCCCCCAAGTCTACGGGAGAGGTGAAGAACCCCTGGAATTGCACAACTGCGTTGAGGGGCAAGGGATAGATGAGGGGTTGGGCCAAAATTAATATGGAAACTGGTGTGCTCAATTAATTAGAAGTATGGGGAGTGGACAGATGTGGGATGGAGATGCACATAATTTATATATAACAGAATTGTGGGATTTGGTGAGAAACGGTGCTCTTCAGTATCAGGCAGCAATTTCTATAATGGTGTACTGTGAACCCAATTGAAGCTTCCAGCAAGAGGAAGAATAATCATACTCTAAAATCACAA